GCCAAGGAGATCGACCACATTCTCGTTAGCATTTGTTAGAGGATCCTCCAGAACTGCAGGGTGTATAGGTGCCGAGTTCTGTGGTACTGACCATAGATTGGTTGTGGCTACCCTCCGGGTTCACTTCAAAACTCCCCAGCGGCTCAGTGACCATCCTAGGGTGTTTTATCTGGACAGGCTGAAGGAGAGGGAGTGTGCTCGGAGGTTTGCTGAGGCAATCTCTGGTCGTTTCACAGCGCTTGACAATCTGACGGACCCTGTACTTCTGTGGGACACCTTCAAGTGCGAAATGTTTGATGCAGCCCAAGAATCGATTGGAGAACGCCCGAGAGCAAGACAGAATTTAATCTCTCAGGAGACACTGGAAGCCACAGATGCTTGCCGTGCGGCTCGTCTGGCAGTGGATCGGGATTTTCACCATTCTCAGGTGTGCAGAACTCGGTCTCTGTTAAGAAGGGACAAGGAACAGTATATTAGGAGTCTTGCTGAGGAGGTCGAAGGCCATTTCTTAGTAAATGACCTTCGTCCTGCATACCAAACTCTAAGAAAACTGAACTCCAAGCCCTCTTCACAGGTGACTGCAGTTCCCTTAGTAGGTGGCCAGATCGTATCAGATCCTGTTGCGGTGAGGGAGCGTTGGGCTGAGTACTTTGAGCAGCTGTATCAGGTTGACCCTCCAACGGTTAACTTGGATGTCGGTAGTGCCGTGATTCCGCTGCTGGACCAACCCATTAGCGAGGACCCACCGTCCCTAACTGAAGTTAGGGAGGCGATCTCCAAGCTGAAGAGTGGTAAAGCAGCGGGTATTTGCGGCATCCCAGCTGAATTGTTAAAGGCTGGTGGTGAACCTATGGCGCAGGGATTGCATGCTGTCCTGGCTGCCATCTGGCAGTCCGGTACTGTTCCCCCTGACCTATTGAGGAGTGTGGTCATCCCTCTCTGGAAGGGGAAGGGGGACCGATGGGACTGCAGCAATCACCGCGGCATCACACTGCTCTGTGTACCAGGCAAGGTTCTTGCCCGCATCCTTCTGAGGCGTATTAGAGACCATCTACTAAGGCATCAGAGGCCAGAGCAATCTGGATTCACTCCTGGTAAGTCCACAATAGACCATATCCTTGTGCTTCGAGTCATTGTAGAGCGCCGTCATGAGTTTGGACGTGGGCTGCTTGCAGCCTACATCGACCTCACGAAGGAATTCGATACAGTGCATTGAGAATCATTCTGGGAGACCCTGAAACTGAGAGGAATTCCAACAAGGCTGTGTTGTTGCACCAACACTTTTCAACACTTGCATGGACTGGATACTAAGCAGAGCTACTGTTCAAAGTCATTGTGGAGCAACACTGGGTAATATTAAGGTTACAGACTTGACTTTGCTGATGATGTTGCTATTCTATCTGAGTTTTGGGAACCCTAGTGGTGGCTCTCAATGCATTTAATAATGAAGCAAAGCCCTTGGGTCTAGAGGTGTCCTGGACCAAGACCAAGAGCCAGGACTTTGCGGACTTGCTAGGAGAACCTGTTCGGTCGCTACGTGCTTGTGACGAGGACATTGAAGTCAGAGAGAGCTTTACATACCTTGGTAGTGCAGTTCATAATTCTGGGCTGTCAGACCTGGCAGCAGGGGTTATGAACTATCTCGACAAGAGGTGCCGGTACCTGTGCAGAAGGACCAAGCTACGGGTTTTCAGGGCCCTGGTAATGCCAGTTTTGCACTACGGTAGTGAAACCTGGACATTATCCAGTGCACTGGAGTCTCGTCTTGATGCATTTTGTAATAGGTCCTTGCGGCGGATCATGGGGTACTGTTGGCGGGACCATGTGTCTAACCAATGGCTGCACCGTGAGACTGGCACAGGACCTATTACCTGCACAATCCGGGATCGCCAACTCAGGCTATATGGCCATTTGGCTCGTTTTCCACAGGCTGATCCTGCTCATCATGTTGTTTCTGTAAAAGACAACCCAGGGTGGAGGAGGCCTATGGGACGACCTAGGAGGTCGTGGCTTGGGCAGATCGATCAAACCTGTCGGGAAGAGCTCGAGATGAGCCGAGTCCCTGCCTGGCGGCTTGCCATGAGGGATCCCAAAAGGTGGAAGCAAAAGGTGGACGCGGCTATGCGCCCCCATAGGCGTTAGCTCCTGATGATGATAATGATATATATATATATATATATATATATATATATATATATATATATATATATATATTCACACACACACACATACACATTTATACATATACATATGGATATATATATATATATATATATAATATATATATATAGAGAGAGAGAGAGAGAGAGAGAGGAGAGAGAGAGAGAGAGAGAGAGAGAGAGAGAGAGAGAGAGAGAGAGAGATAAATATAGATATATAGATAGATATATATGTGTACGTGTATATATAAACAATCACACACATACGCACTCAAGCTATACGATATATTTAGTTATATATAATTCCTTTTATTGTAATGCATTTTATTGTAGTCGCTTAC